TCTGCCAGAATTTCATTAGATTTTATTAGACGATAATTATCCGATAATGATTTATATGACATTGTCGCGCCTTCATGGAGGTTCCGTTCGGCTCTGATCGAACTGAATCAAAACTCTGGCAGATCTCGGCTCTCGTTCGACCCCGACCGTGTGGACGCATTGGAGAAAATCTCCTGTTAATCCGTGCATGGAACTACCGGGGTTTGTAGTTCCATGATCCGTGGGAGGATCAGTAGTTCAGTTGCCATGTGAACATAGCACCTGTAAAATCGCATCACACTTGCAGTGAGTTTTGTTTACGTCTTACGTCGCGAAATCCCCTAAGCCAACATGTAATTTATTGTCGGGAATTCATTCCTTTATTTAAATTGTTTATACAAATATTTATGTCAGAGTTTATATTAATCCTAAGCCCAGGTAATCTTTATATTTGGCTACACACCTTAATCCTCGTAGCTGGCCACTCACTAATTAATAGTTACCTTGTACCTTCTTTGTTGCGTAACCATACCGATACATTATATAAAGGAGTTTTAATTGTGAATAAAGTAGAGTTCTTAGTGACCAGTAAAACCATACATGAACCATCTACCCCGTGTCGCCTAAGTATTTATCACTTATTTCCTTAACCTACCCACCACTATACAATCTATCTATACAAGCCGCACAGTTATAAGAAAACATTTATGTTAAATATTATTCATTGAAATTTGCTCAATTGAGCACCTTGTCATTGCAGCTTTTGACTATTACTGATTCAGTAACCCATCCAAAATCAATATTTGATTATTTTTTTCTATCAAACAAAGCATGTACAAAGACACAATATAAAAGACCGACAGCACGGGTATTTCAGTACGGTAAGGAACCAGTAAATAACCATGACCCTTACAACCGTACGTCGTAGAAATACAGTCACTACACAATTACATGGTTCACACGTACCAGAAATACGTTGAAGAGCAAGTGAGAACACCAGTGTTCGCACTGGCCCTACGGCGACGTTTCGCAATTTCGATTACGATTACACAATAAT